GCGTAAAAAAAATATTAAATATGTCGAAATAATTGCTGTCAATTGTTTCATACAAATGGAAAGTAAACTAAACAAGTGTGCACACAAGTATCATGATGATATATGCCAAATTACACAACAGAAACACTTAAAAAGGAATGTAACTTTTGTCCAAGCTGGAAAATGTCAACATGCAGTCGAGACTTCCTTTTCCATGTGCGCATGCGCAAAATCGAAGTTGCGGGCTCCTCGTTTTATGATGCAGTGTTAGCGATTTAAAGTTGCCGTTTTCACTGTTTCAGTAGCGAGGTATTATGTTTATGTTACTATTGCCACGATTAATGTGGGCTTTTCTGCGTTTTTCTGCACAGTGGGAAAGTTTTCTTTGGTAGGCCTGATAACGTCAAAGTCTGAAATTGAGGGTGTTCTTGCGACATCAATGGGACTTAATAATATGTCGCACAATTTGTGCAAAGTCCGCTCAGATGAATTAACACAGTTCCCAACTCTGCTTTCTCAACAGGTAACCAGGTAACGAGAAACCCTGTCGAATTCCCGACATGGTAACAATATATAAAGCCGCCTTGTGGTATTCTCTGTCGTAATACGGTATGCGGCTAATACAGGCGTCACTCACTCACTCAAAGTACACACTCTCACTCACTCACTCACTCACTCACTCACTCACTCACTCACTCACTCACAAAGAATAGCATCAGACATTTCAGACACTCGTGCATCACACTTAGAAATATCCTCCACATATCTACCAGTACATCTTGCGAACGCATTAAGAGCGCCTTAACTGTTGTAACCTGATCAAACAAATCGTAAGGAACGAAACGCCTTGACATACAAAATACACAAACCAATCAACGGATTGTTTATTAAAGGTTTATTGGCCAACCGGACTTCCTGCTCAGTCCGAATTATATAGCAATGTTTTTACGTGTAACTACCTTATCGGGCCGACATTTTGGTCCGAAATCCGAAATCATGAGAGTTCGAGATACAGAACTGTTTTATTATGACAACAAAGAAGGATTACGTCGGGACCGTGAGTTCAGTCCTGTTTATACAGCAATCCGAGAAAGACAGAGTCCGAGTTTGACAGAGTGCACTGTATTCGCAAACCAGGCCGTAGTATCGATACGGTAGATGAACTGGAAACAGTGTATGGAATGAGATGGAATGAACATATGCTCCCACCTTTTCCCGAACATTTGTTTATTTGTTTGCTCAATTGTTGTTTAACGCAGCGCTCATCAATATATGTTCCAGCTGCACAACGACGGTCTTTCAAGAACTTTCTGGACCAGACAACCCAGTGATCAAGAGCTTGAGCATCGATCTACACAATTGGGATACGATGACACGTGTCAATCGAGTCAGCGAGTCTGACCATCCGTCCCTTTAAGTCGTCTCTTACAACAAGCACGGGTTGCTGAAGACCAATTCTAAATCTTCAGGGTATTTGGCTATTTGATGGTCCGAACATTAGTGGCGGATTCAGTTGACCCTGATGGCTATCGGAAATTGTTGTAGAAGTCGTGTGTTTTGTTAGCAGCAAACTGGATGAAATAACCGGTTGTTTTATGTGCATCTCGAGTTATTGCTGCTGGACATGAGGAGAATGTGTGGAATTGCAGTGAAAGAATTTTAACTGAATAAAAAAAAAAGATACATCTATATCCGTTTGATATGCCCGTTTGATTTTCCACCTTTGTCTCTGTGGCGAGAAACCATTGCAGTGAAAGAATTTTAACTGAATAAAAAGAAAAGATTTTCAGGAGAGGGAGAGAGAGAGAGAGAGAGAGAGAGAGAGAGAGAGAGAGAGAGAGAGAGAGAGAGAGAGAGAGAGAGAGAGAGAGAGAGAGAGAGAGAGAGAGAGAGAGAGAGAGAGAGAGAGAGAGAGAGAGAGAGAGAGAGAGAGAGAGACGAATTAAGCACCCCCTGTATTCTTGCAATGATAGTTTTCCAACACGTACATAGAAGACCACGATGGAGGCCACGAGTTTTCCAACCCGTATGATCCTTTGACTCATAAAATGATTGGATTCAATGTTGATTTTGTGATGATATTTGCTTATTTTCAAGAAAACACTCATTTTCATACAAAAATTGTTGTCTGTACAACTATGGCCCTGGAATGTTTAATGTTGAATTTATTGGTGAATTTGAACATTGAAAATGTCGTTTTGCGTGACTTATTTTTAATAATTTTAGTAATGTATATTACTTTTTTGTTAAACAGCGTCGCCAGACTGCAATAGATGTCATTAAATCGTTTCGTTTGACACTGGCAAACACTGCTCATTAAAATCGAAATGCGACACATTGGAAATCTGTGTTGCTGAGGCTCCCAGCCCTGAAAGAGATTTTCCACCTTTGTCTCTGTGGCGAGAAATCAATATCAAGGTAAAGATGTTTAAACATCTGTCGCTATGGCATACCAATGTCAGTATACACGATTTAAGGTCAATACCGTGTGTAGCCTCCATGTGACTATGTGACAGGCAGCATTCTCCTCCTTATACCCCCTGTCAGCCTCCTGTTCCTCTGAAGGGGCAGTCTACGCCACTTCTCGTGTAAAGCAGCTTCCAACTGGGCAAGTTTCTATACAGGAGAACCCCTTTGTTGCACACGACGACCAGTCATGTCCCAGATATGCTCCAAAGTGTTAAGGTCGGGGCTCATTCAATCCTCAGATATGTCAAGGGGTGCTTAACTATGTACTTTGTGTATATAACCTATACTGATCCATTATCAAAGTTCTTTATTGAGTACGTAAATTTTAGTAAAACTTACGAATTGATACTTCTGTATGTTATTATGATTTACAGATTACGACAAAAATGCAGCAGAGAGGGTTCGGATGATCTTGGCACAGTCAGGATCATCATCAGCTCAGGGCCCTTGCCCCCTCTACACGCAGCCTAGACAGCGAAGTTCTGCCTTGTCGGACCACCAAGCACTTTCCGGAAAATGTGGAGATCCCCCGACACTGCAGACTTCTTCATTACCCAGAGCGTCAGAAGAGCTATGTTTCAAGAGATCGGGAGATATCAAACCATGGGTACCGAGAACAATAACTGGGAACCGGACAACTTGGTACTTGGGATGAAAGCGAGTTCAAAATATTTGCCATGTTTTTCTTGAATCTTGTCAATCACATTATTGTCAAAAAGGACAGAAAATTCAAACACATACATGCTGTCATTCATTATGTTTTTTCCAAAAGCGATTATGTTAGTTACCTTCCAAATCTGTAATTGTCTTGTTCCATGACCACTTCCACATATTCTGGATCGTACCATGGATAGACCTCGGAGTCAGAACCGCTAGTAAGGCGAAGAGGGTAATAAAATGAACGAGCCCCGAAATCATGTCGTTTAAGATACTGTGTCTGTACCAACGCTTGGCATCCACTGAAAACGCGAGGAACAAAATTAAATTCATTACATAATCTTATTTCATATTAACATTTTGACGTTAAGTTTTTTGACGTACGATTTGGAAGTAACGGGTCCTGAGCAGCAAACTGAAAGCCATTTTTTCACCTTTCAGACCAGCCGACTCCATCCAAGCGTTTTCCTCAAGACACTGTACGTGAACTCGGTGCAGCGGTCGTTCAAATAGCTTTCCCTGGAAGAACTGAGCCTGTGCTGATCTGATGTGGCACCTCGCCTGGTTGACACCCATTTCAGTACCGTCCAGCAGTACAGACTCTACAACAAAATCAATATTGACACCGAGATTGTGTCCAACATCCTTGACTCTTTATAGATAACTGTGGAATGCCTTGTTGTCATTATGAGTTTTGACAAGCTCTACAAGTGAATGGTCAGACAAATATGTATGCAGTAGTGAACAATAATATTCTGTCATGATGAAACTCCACGGCCTCCCATTACAACTGTAGACGATTGAGGGAAGGGCGAGGGCGGTGGGCTCTAGTGTCTGACATGGTTCTTCTTGTGAGGGTTTCAATACTCTTTATTTCTTGTTTCGTCTCCAATCAGCAACATCAAACCAATAAGACTGGACGAGAACAGCACCAGCATTGACTTTGTTACCCCTGACTCCAGATTTCAAGTCTGCTTTTGTATTCTCCCCGACGTTGGTCCTTCATATGTCTTTCCCGGACTTTGTGTCTACCCTGCATCCTTCAGTACGTATAGGCCTAACCTTCCACGATATGGACAATAACCTCCCCTAAGTTAACTGAATGATCCTCCTCCTTGTATCTTGCCACGTCAGATGAAGAATGTTGCATTTTTCGATTTCAAATGACATTCCGATATTATTGTAAAGGACAAGGAGTGTCTGTTTTTCCCGTATAGATTTTATCTTGGCAATAAGTTCAAGGTCATCCGTGTCTGTTCTTCCCGTATACATTTTATCTTGGCAATAAGTTCAAGGTCATCCATGTCTGTTTTTCCCGTATAGATTTTATCTTGGCAATAAGTTCAAGTTCATCCATGTCTGTTTTTCCCGTATAGATTTTATCTTGGCAATAAGTTCAAGGTCATCCGTGTCTGTTTTTCCCGTATAGATTTTATCTTGGCAATAAGTTCAAGGATGTGAGTAAGAGTGAATGGGTTTAGTTTTACGCCGCTTATAGCAATATTCCAGCAACATCACGGCGGGGGACACCAGAAATGGGCTTCACACATTGTACCCATGTGGGGAATCGAACCCGGGTCTTCGGCGTGACGATGTGAATAAGAGGTGGTAGGGATCTGTGCTGAGATTATCGCAAATGAAAACTCTCTTATTCAGATGGGTTGACAGAATCATAATCTTTTTTGCAGTCAGGGTTAGGGTTAGGAAGCATGCAGCGGTTTGTTTTTCCAGGATCATGCTTTGAACCAACACCCTCCATTCCAAAACTGCTCTGTGAGCGGGGGTGCGTAATCGGAGTAATCGCTGGAGTCACGGTGGGAGTAATCACTAGAGTCATGGTGGGAGTAATCACTAGAGTCATGGTGGGAGTATTCGCTGGAGTCATGGTGAGAGTATTAGCTGGAGTCATGGTGGGAGTAATCACTAGAGTCATAGTGGGAGTATTCGCTGGAGTCATGGTGGGAGTAATCACTAGAGTCATGGTGGGAGTAATCTCTAGAGTCATGGTCGGAGTTATCACTAGAGTCATGGTGGGAGTAATCACTAGAGTCATGGTGGGAGTATTGGTGGGAGTATTCGCTGGAGTCATGGTGGGAGTATTCGCTGGAGTCATGGTGGGAGTAATCACTAGAGTCGTGGTGGGAGTATTCGCTGGAGTCATGGTGGGAGTAATCTCTAGAGTCATGTTGGGAGTAATCTCTAGAGTCATGGTGGGAGTAATCTCTGGAGTCATGGTGGGAGTAATCTCTAGAGGCATGGTGGGAGTAATCTCTAGAGGCATGGTGGGAGTAATCACTAGAGGCATGGTGGGAGTAATCTCTAGAGGCATGGTGGGAGTATTCGCTGGAGTCTTGGTGGGAGTAATCACTAGAGGCATGGTGAGAGTATTCGCTGGAGTCATGGTGGGAGTTATCACTAGAGTCATGGTGGGAGTATTCGCTGGAGTCTTGGTGGGAGTAATCTCTAGAGTCATGGTGGGAGTAATCTCTAGAGTCATGGTGGGAGTAATCTCTAGAGGCATGGTGGGAGTAATCTCTAGAGGCATGGTGGGAGTAATCTCTAGAGTCATGGTGGGAGTATTCGCTGGAGTCATGGTGGGAGTAATCTCTAGAGGCATGGTGGGAGTAATCTCTAGAGGCATGGTGGGAGTAATCTCTAGAGGCATGGTGGGAGTAATCGCTGGAGTCATGGTGAGAGTATTCGCTGGAATACAGAGTGTGGGTGTAAAACAAGGTGTAGGTGTAAAACAGAGTGTGGGTGTAAAACAGGGTGTAGGTGTAAAACAAGGTGTAGGTGTAACAGAGTGTAGGTGTAAAACAGGATTTAGGTGTAAAACAGAGTGTGGGTGTAAAACAAGGCGTAAGTGTAAAACAGAGCGTGGGTGTAAAACAAGGTGTAGGTGTAAAACAGAGTGTGGGTGTCAAACAGGGTGTAGGTGTAACAGAGTGTGGGTGTAAAACAAGGTGTAGGTGTAAAACAGAGTGTGGGTGTAAAACAAGGTGTAGGTGTAACAGGGTGTAGGTGTAAAACAGGGTGTAGGTGTAAAACAGGGTGTTTGTGTAAAACAGGGCGTTGGTGCTAAACAACGTGTAGGTGTAAAACAGGATGTGGGTGTAAAACAAGGTGTAGGTGTAAAACAGGATGTGGGTGTAAAACAGGGTGTAGGTGTAAAACAAGGTGTATGTGTAAAACAGGGTGTAGGTGTAAAACAAGGTGTAGGTGTAAAACAAGGTGTAGGTGTAAAACAGGGTGTGGGTGTAAAACAAGGTGTAGGTGTAAAACAGAGTGTGGGTGTAAAACAAGGTGTAGGTGTAACAGGGTGTAGGTGTAAAACAGGGTGTAGGTGTAAAACAGGGTGTTTGTGTAAAACAGGGCGTTGGTGCTAAACAACGTGTAGGTGTAAAACAGGATGTGGGTGTAAAACAAGGTGTAGGTGTAAAACAGGATGTGGGTGTAAAACAGGGTGTAGGTGTAAAACAAGGTGTATGTGTAAAACAGGGTGTAGGTGTAAAACAAGGTGTAGGTGTAAAACAAGGTGTAGGTGTAGAAACAGGGTGTAGGTGTAAATCAAGGTGTAGGTGTAAAACAAGGTGTAGGTGTAAAACAGGGTGTAGGTGTAAATCAAGGTGTAGGTGTAAATCAAGGTGTAGGTGTAAAACAGGATGTGGGTGTAAAACAGGGCGTTGATGTAAAACAGGATGTAGGTGTAAAACAAGGTGTAGGTGTAAAACATGGTGTAGGTGTAAAACAGGATGTGGGTGTAAAACAGGGCGTTGGTGTCAAACAGGGAGTCATGGTGGGAGTATTCGCTGGAGTCATGGTGGGAGTATTCGCTGGAGTCATGGTGGGAGTATTCGCTGGAGTCATGGTGGGAGTATTCGCTGGAGTCTTGGTGGGAGTAATCTCTAGAGTCATGGTGGGAGTAATCACTAGAGTCATGGTGAGAGTAATCTCTAGAGGCATGGTGGGAGTATTCACTGGAGTCTTGGTGGGAGTATTCACTGGAGTCTTGGTGGGAGTAATCTCTAGAGTCATGGTGGGAGTAATCTCTAGAGTCATGGTGGGAGTAATCGCTGGAGTCATGGTGGGAGTAATCTCTAGAGTCATGGTGGGAGTAATCACTAGAGTCATGGTGAGAGTATTCGCTGGAATACAGAGTGTGGGTGTAAAACAGAGTGTGGGTGTAAAACAGGGTGTAGGTGTAAAACAAGGTTTAGGTGTAACAGAGTGTAGATGTAAAACAGGATGTGGGTGTAAAACAGGGTGTAGGTGTAAAACAGGGCGTTGGTGCTAAACAACGTGTAGGTGTAAAACAGGATGTGGATGTAAAACAAGGTGTAGGTGTAAAACAGGATGTGGGTGTAAAACAGGGTGTAGGTGTAAAACAAGGTGTATGTGTAAAACAGGGTGTAGGTGTAAAACAAGGTGTAGGTGTAAAACAAGGTGTAGGTGTAAAACAGGGTGTAGGTGTAAATCAAGGTGTAGGTGTAAAACAGGATGTGGGTGTAAAACAGGGCGTTGATGTAAAACAGGATGTAGGTGTAAAACAAGGTGTAGGTGTAAAACATGGTGTAGGTGTAAAACAGGATGTGGGTGTAAAACAAGGTGTGGGTGTAAAACAAGATGTGGGTGTAAAACAGGATGTGGTTGTAAAACAGGGCGTTGGTGTAGAACAGGGCGTTGGTGTAAAACAGGATGTGGGTGTAAAACAAGGTGTAGGTGTAAAACAGGATGTGGGTGTAAAACAGGACGTTGGTTTAAAACAGGGCTTTAATTAATTGGTCAAGTATTTTCTCGTTACTTGAAGTTACTTTTAACAACTTGAAATGCAGAAATTCAGAATGATTTCTCGTTGCTTCGACATTTCGACTTCGATTAATTTTCGTGGATGTCTCGGGCTAGTACTATCTTAAGACATAATATAAATCTAAGCACGTGAAGCAATAATATGACATCGTTGCCATCGCTAATAGTGAGTGATAATGAGTTTTACGCCGCTTTTAGCAATATTCCAGCAATATCACCGTGGCGGAACACCAGAAATGGGCTTCACACATTGTACATGTGGGGAATCGAACACGGGTCTTGGGTGTGACGAGCAAACGCCCAGACGTGACTTATCATGTCATGTTTAGATTCTTGTCAAAATTAATGAGCTAAGCTTGGGCTTAAATTGTTAAATAATATAATCTCTTTAATTTGATTTATTACTTATTTAGTATTAAGATATGGATATAATGATACATACTTTGAAATTAATTCAATGATTTATATACTATTCTGCCTTGTTTCGTTTGATTTAGGACTCATTAAGCTTTACTAATTGCATATATTGATACATACTTTGAAATTAAGTCAATAATTGAACATCTTCAAGTATTTAAATTACATTCTGTCCTATTATTTTTAGTTACATAATCAGCAGTCTCATAAAATTTAGAAACAAAGCATTTAGAATTAGGAGAGAGTACAATTCTTTGGTCAATGCTTTAAGATACACATACAAAATGTCTTGGAAAGGGAAGCCAGTAAATTTTGATTTACCAAAAAGAGACCTTAAATTTTAAAGAACAAATAAACTTTATTTTTTTTTTTACTCTTTTAAGTATTACATATGAAAGATTTGAGGTCAGTCTTATGGGGAACACCAAATTCATTCTTTAAAAACTTGTGGTTAATTAGTACCGAGCGATTAAAAGTTGCCAAAAAGGTCGCCTGCTTCACTGTCGCCCACCAACGAAACCACAGACAGGTTACGTAACTCTGTCGCCAGAGCACTGCAGTGACGTCATATGAGGAAGGATTTTCAGTAAGTTGTATAGAACGTGTGTAGCAAGCTCTTCATTTTGATGATTTCTCGACATCAAAGCGAAGACATGCCAAATCGTTGCGTTGTCGTCAATTGCTCCTAGAGGGTTAGGCGATGGTGTGCGCCATGCACAGATTTCCACAGGACCCCGCAGTTCGTGCAAAATGAGTCTTGGCGAGAGCGTTGTGGAAGCCTGAAAGCGATATCTTACTTGTGTTCAGATCACTTCACGGAAGTTAAAGAATCAGAACTACTGTATGTGTAAAACAGGGTGTAGGTGTAAAACAAGGTGTAGGTGTAAAACAGGATGTGGGTGTAAAACAGGATGTGGGTGTAAAACAGGGTGTAGGTGTAAAACAGGGCGTTGGTGCTAAACAGCGTGTAGGTGTAAAACAGGATGTGGGTGTAAAACAAGGTGTAGGTGTAAAACAGGATGTGGGTGTAAAACAGGGTGTAGGTGTAAAACAAGGTGTATGTGTAAAACAGGGTGTAGGTGTAAAACAAGGTGTAGGTGTAAAACAAGGTGTAGGTGTAAAACAGGGTGTAGGTGTAAATCAAGGTGTAGGTGTAAAACAGGATGTGGGTGTAAAACAGGGCGTTGATGTAAAACAGGATGTAGGTGTAAAACAAGGTGTAGGTGTAAAACATGGTGTAGGTGTAAAACAGGATGTGGGTGTAAAACAAGGTGTGGGTGTAAAACAAGATGTGGTTGTAAAACAGGGCGTTGGTGTAGAACAGGGCGTTGGTGTAAAACAGGATGTGGGTGTAAAACAAGGTGTAGGTGTAAAACAGGATGTGGGTGTAAAACAGGACGTTGGTTTAAAACAGGGCTTTAATTAATTGGTCAAGTATTTTCTCGTTACTTGAAGTTACTTTTAACAACTTGAAATGCAGAAATTCAGAATGATTTCTCGTTGCTTCGACATTTCGACTTCGATTAATTTTCGTGGATGTCTCGGGCTAGTACTATCTTAAGACATAATATAAATCTAAGCACGTGAAGCAATAATATGACATCGTTGCCATCGCTAATAGTGAGTGATAATGAGTTTTACGCCGCTTTTAGCAATATTCCAGCAATATCACCGTGGCGGCGGAACACCAGAAATGGGCTTCACACATTGTACATGTGGGGAATCGAACACGGGTCTTAGGTGTGACGAGCAAGCGCCCAGACGTGACTTATCATGTCATGTTTAGATTCTTGTCAAAATTAATGAGCTAAGCTTGGGCTTAAATTGTTAAATAATATAATCTCTTTAATTTGATTTATTACTTATTTAGTATTAAGATATGGATATAATGATACATACTTTGAAATTAATTCAATGATTTATATACTATTCTGCCTTGTTTCGTTTGATTTAGGACTCATTAAGCTTTACTAATTGCATATATTGATACATACTTTGAAATTAAGTCAATAATTGAACATCTTCAAGTATTTAAATTACATTCTGTCCTATTATTTTTAGTTACATAATCAGCAGTCTCATAAAAATTTAGAAACAAAAGCATTTAGAATTAGGAGAGAGAGTACAATTCTTTGGTCAATGCTTTAAGATACACATACAAAATGTCTTGGAAAGGGAAGCCAGTAAATTTTGATTTACCAAAAAAGAGACCTTAAATTTTAAAGAACAAATAAACTTTGTTTTTTTTTACTCTTTTAAGTATTACATATGAAAGATTTGAGGTCAGTCTTATGGGGAACACCAAATTCATTCTTTAAAAACTTGTGGTTAATTAGTACCGAGCGATTAAAAGTTGCCAAAAGGTCGCCTGCTTCACTGTCGCCCACCAACGAAACCACAGACAGGTTACGTAACTCTGTCGCAAGAGCACTGCAGTGACGTCATATGAGGAAGGATTTTCAGTAAGTTGTATAGAACGTGTGTAGCAAGCTCTTCATTTTGATGATTTCTCGACATCAACGAAGACATGCCAAATCGTTGCGTTGTCGTCAATTGCTCCTAGAGGTTGGGCGATGGTGTCGCCATGCACAGATTTCCACAGGACCCCGCAGTTCGTGCAAAATGAGTGCGAAGCGAGCGTTGTGGAAGCCTGAAACGATATCTTACTTGTGTTCAGATCACTTCACGGAAGTTAAAGAATCAGAACTACTGTATGTGTAAAACAGGGTGTAGGTGTAAAACAAGGTGTAGGTGTAAAACAGGATGTGGGTGTAAAACAGGATGTGGGTGTAAAACAGGGTGTAGGTGTAAAACAGGGCGTTGGTGCTAAACAACGTGTAGGTGTAAAACAGGATGTGGGTGTAAAACAAGGTGTAGGTGTAAAACAGGATGTGGGTGTAAAACAGGGTGTAGGTGTAAAACAAGGTGTATGTGTAAAACAGGGTGTAGGTGTAAAACAAGGTGTAGGTGTAAAACAAGGTGTAGGTGTAAAACAGGGTGTAGGTGTAAATCAAGGTGTAGGTGTAAAACAGGATGTGGGTGTAAAACAGGGCGTTGATGTAAAACAGGATGTAGGTGTAAAACAAGGTGTAGGTGTATGTGTAAAACATGGTGTAGGTGTAAAAACAGGATGTGGGTGTAAAACAAGGTGTGTAAAACAGGGCGGTGTAAAAACAAGATGTGGTTGTAAAACAGGGCGTTGGTGTAGAACAGGGCGTTGGTGTAAAACAGGATGTGGGTGTAAAACAAGGTGTAGGTGTAAAACAGGATGTGGGTGTAAAACAGGACGTTGGTTTAAAACAGGGCTTTAATTAATTGGTCAAGTATTTTCTCGTTACTTGAAGTTACTTTTAACAACTTGAAATGCAGAAATTCAGAATGATTTCTCGTTGCTTCGACATTTCGACTTCGATTAATTTTCGTGGATGTCTCGGGCTAGTACTATCTTAAGACATAATATAAATCTAAGCACGTGAAGCAATAATATGACATCGTTGCCATCGCTAATAGTGAGTGATAATGAGTTTTACGCCGCTTTTAGCAATATTCCAACAATATCACCGTGGCGGAACACCAGAAATGGGCTTCACACATTGTACATGTGGGGAATCGAACACAGGTCTTGGGTGTGACGAGCAAGCGCCCAGACGTGACTTATCATGTCATGTTTAGATTCTTGTCAAAATTAATGAGCTAAGCTTGGGCTTAAATTGTTAAATAATATAATCTCTTTAATTTGATTTATTACTTATTTAGTATTAAGATATGGATATAATGATACATACTTTGAAATTAATTCAATGATTTATATACTATTCTGCCTTGTTTCGTTTGATTTAGGACTCATTAAGCTTTACTAATTGCATATATTGATACATACTTTGAAATTAAGTCAATAATTGAACATCTTCAAGTATTTAAATTACATTCTGTCCTATTATTTTTAGTTACATAATCAGCAGTCTCATAAAAATTTAGAAACAAAAGCATTTAGAATTAGGAGAGAGAGTACAATTCTTTGGTCAATGCTTTAAGATACACATACAAAATGTCTTGGAAAGGGAAGCCAGTAAATTTTGATTTACCAAAAAAGAGACCTTAAATTTTAAAGAACAAATAAACTTTGTTTTTTTTTACTCTTTTAAGTATTACATATGAAAGATTTGAGGTCAGTCTTATGGGGAACACCAAATTCATTCTTTAAAAACTTGTGGTTAATTAGTACCGAGCGATTAAAAGTTGCCAAAAGGTCGCCTGCTTCACTGTCGCCCACCAACGAAACCACAGACAGGTTACGTAACTCTGTCGCAAGAGCACTGCAGTGACGTCATATGAGGAAGGATTTTCAGTAAGTTGTATAGAACGTGTGTAGCAAGCTCTTCATTTTGATGATTTCTCGACATCAACGAAGACATGCCAAATCGTTGCGTTGTCGTCAATTGCTCCTAGAGGTTGGGCGATGGTGTCGCCATGCACAGATTTCCACAGGACCCCGCAGTTCGTGCAAAATGAGTGCGAAGCGAGCGTTGTGGAAGCCTGAAACGATATCTTACTTGTGTTCAGATCACTTCACGGAAGTTAAAGAATCAGAACTACTGTATGTGTAAAACAGGGTGTAGGTGTAAAACAAGGTGTAGGTGTAAAACAGGATGTGGGTGTAAAACAAGGTGTAGGTGTAAAACAGGATGTGGGTGTAAAACAGGGTGTAGGTGTAAAACAGGGCGTTGGTGTAAAACAAGGTGTAGGTGTAAAACAAGGTGTGGGTGTAAAACAAGGTGTAGGTGTAAAACAAGGTGTAGGTGTAAAACAAGGTGTAGGTGTAAAACAGGGTGTAGGTGTAAAACAAGGTGTAGGTGTAAAACAGGATGTGGGTGTAAAACAAGGTGTAGGTGTAAAACAGGATGTGGGTGTAAAACAAGGTGTAGGTGTAAAACAGGATGTGGGTGTAAAACAGGGCGTTGGTGTAAAACAGGATGTAGGTGTAAAACAAGGTGTAGGTGTAAAACAGGATGTGGGTGTAAAACAGGGCGTTGGTGTAAAACAGGGCGTTGGTGTAAAACAGGGCGTTGGTGTAAAACAAGGTGTAGGTGTAAAACAAGGTGTAGGTGTAAAACAGGATGTGGGTGTAAAACAGGGTGTAGGTGTAAAACAGGATGTGGTGTAAAACAGGGTGTTCTTACATCCCTTTCTGCCACAAGAGACCCTGACAAGACGTTAATGCGCGGTGACGTGGACACGTCCATTGGGGAACATATTTACCACTTTCCTGCTGTATCCTGAGTTAAGGATGTTGAAGAAGTGACTTATATCCTGCCTGGTAAGCTGCTTTTTGCATGCTGTACAAGAGCTGCATACGTTGGTGAGATTGCATGTTTTGAGCGTTACTGCAAGGACTACAACATCTGCAGCTACTGTTCGTAACATAATCTTTTCATGGCCCTGTTTTGCAGCATGATTAACATGAAGTATGATGTGAAAAGCGGTTTCTTGATGACTGCAAAGGAGAAGTGAAGACATATTCATCAAATGTTTTGACAGTTCCAGCTTTCAACTTTTGAACAGTGACAGTTGGCTCTTCTGATATTGCTGTAACATATGCGTCTATATGGGCCCACAGGTCACGTTTTGTACCAGTGCAACATCCATTTTCTGATAGGGATGGTGTCTGCTTTTCATGCTGATCGAAACCATCTAGATTTCCCCACGTGACTGTCGCCTAAAGTACACTCTGATAAGAGTTCTACGTCACTCTTCATTGTTTCCAGCTCTTCTTTATCCCTTTCATGGCATTTTTAATCAATCAAAGTTAAGAAAATAGGTACAAGACACATACTGTTACCCGGCTTTGTTCTGTCCTCAAACTTTCCTTTGTAAAGGTCTCAAACTGCTCTTTTCCTCTGGGTCCCATTTTCCCATGATGCGATGGTCCCAAGCAAAGTGGTGTATACATTTAAAAATTGCAGTATGTGCGCTACAATTTCCTGAAATGATTTAAAAGACGGCAGTACTTGACAAGGCAAGACGCAGACGTTCTGAAAATACATGATGGCAAGCTATTGACGTGCATGATGCAGAGGTTACCTGTCGTAACATTGGTGCTTTAACCACAAGGCTGTTAGTCCGCCTACGAGGAGCTGCGTGGGCACTGGTGAAGTAAAGGGTCGTCCACATCCTGGCAGACTGATGACCACCAATGACCATTATGAACGGGTGTAAATTCTTCTGTCAAGACATCAGTATGGTAAACCTTGCCGAAGAACTGCATGAGGAGTGGGTGTCTCTCACACGATCCACCATTACCATCAAAAGGAGGCTGTGACGTCTGAGGGTACGTCGTCCAATCACACGTCCCTTCCTCACAGATAGGAACAGACGAAACGTCTGGTGTGGTGCAAACTCCAAGAACTGCAACTTTAGAAAATGGCGTAGGGTTCATTGATCTCATGAACGTCGTTTTCTTCTACACGTTGCCCACGGTCGTTGTCATTTTACACACTTCGTATCATCAGGAGATGATCTATGCAGCTGAACCTATCAGTGATGGTGTGGGATTGTGTTTCGTGTGGCCAGTTGGATCTCATTATAGTACCCGGGAAGCACAAGGGTCAACGTTTTCGACAGGAAGTACTGGATACGGCCATGGGGCCACATTTTGTTAACTGTACCAATCGTCAGATATTTATGGATGACAACGCTAGGCCGCCTCGTGCCGTCATAGCCCTTGTTAGAGAGCAATTCCATAGAAACATTACCGTGGCCCGCAAAGAGCCCCGATATAAACCTCATTGAACATCTTTTAGATGCCATGTTCGAGCTGGACCTTATCCTTTTCAAATGAACGAATTGGGGCATACACTGTATCGGGAATGGCAGAGGGATCAGATGCTAATAATACAATGCATGATTGGCAGTATGAGGAGGAGACTGGCAGATGTTATAAGTCCGTATGACTACACAGGATACTGGCGTGGTCGCCTGTGGTGATTCATACAATCAGAACCACCATTGTCTAGAAACTACGATTTCTGGGGTAGTCATGGTGACCATACTTTCCAGCACTGTTGATGTTCACGTTTTTGTATTCTTCTGAGATTGCAGTCATGTGTTGCCATGTTTCAATATCAGTTTTGTTTTTGTTGAAATGTGCTACAGTTACCATTTCAACCGTGTAATTTTGGGTTTCAAAACACATGCACAAATATGTGTCTCCAGCTCATCTTAAAAAAGTGGGTCATTGCAAACATTAATGCTCCTGGATATGTTTCATAATGGCCTTGAGCATGAAGTCCAAATTCAATATCGTAACTTGTCGTTTGTAGTATAACTGACACAGGGCCTGGAAGCAAGGACGGTTAATGTGTCACCATGAGTTTTCAAATTCTAATAAAATATTTTATGAACATAAACTTATAGTTTGGCATGAAATGCATGTGGACCCGTTTTTTTTGTAAATATCTCTTCATCCACTGACCCAATCGATCTCAAACTGTGCAAGTGGATGTTTTGTCAGACAACCTAATCACATTGTAAATCACCGATTTTATGCATTTGTATTAAAGAATCTGTCTATGTAACTGTCAACAAAATAAACAGCAGAACGCAGACTGATTGCAGAGGGAGGGAGCCAATGACCTGTAACAGCGGCACACTTGCCACACTTGCCTTTGAGTCTAAAAGCTTAAAGATTTTATTGTTAAAATAGCCAAAAAACTTTAACTTAGTAATTATTGTCCTGGAGTTCTTTTGCCACATAGTACGGACATTTTCAGGCAGTATTGATCAGATGAAACCATACCATACTTATCTTTTGTCATGGAGCTCCATATTCGAAAAGTTGTCTGCTACTTGCCATTTTGGATGGAAGGAGCATTTATAGTTTGGGGATTTTTATATTTAACGGAAATGAACTATATCTCTTCTTTTCCTGTACCTTTAAACAACTAATTGTGAAATTAATGGTTTGTAGTTATTGCCTATGCTGGCTATGTAGGAGGAACATTGAAAACAGTACTGCACATGCGCCCACGGACATAAAAATATGTGCCTCGATATCTGAACTTATTTCAGAAATGATCCTAAAAATGATGACCCACTTTTGTGCTTTTATCCCCTTATACATATTTTATCCACTTAATGCAGAGCGCTATCGATCATACAGACACAGAACAGTGACTCGGAGACCATCAGAACATGTTTTACCCCTTAATGCAGAGCGCCATCGATCGTACCAGACACAGTATAGTGTCTCGGAGACCATCAGAACATATTTTATCCCCTTTAACGCAGAGCGCCATCGATCGTACCAGACACAGTATAGTGTCTCGGAGACCATCAGAACATGTTTTACCCCTTAATGCAGAGCGCCATGAATCCTACCAGACACAGTATAGTGTCTCGGAGACCATCAGAACATGTTTTACCCCTTAATGCAGAGCGCCATGAATCCTACCAGACACAGTATAGTGTCTCGGAGACCATCAGAACATATTTTATCCCCTTTAACGCAGAGCGCCATCGATCGTACCAGACACAGTATAGTGTCTCGGAGACCATCAGAACTTGTTTTACCCCTTAATGCAGAGCGCCATGAATCCTACCAGACACAGTATAGTGTCTCGGAGACCATCAGAACATGTTTTACCCCTTAATGCAGAGCGCCATGAATCCTACCAGACACAGTATAGTGTCTCGGAGACCATCAGAACATGTTTTACCCCTTAATGCAGAGCGCCATGAATCCTACCAGACACAGTATAGTGTCTCGGAGACCATCAGAACATGTTTTACCCCTTAATGCAGAGCGCCATGAATCCTACCAGACACAGTATAGTGTCTCGGAGACCATCAGAACATATTTTATCCCCTTTAACGCAGAGCGCCATCGATCGTACCAGACACAGTATAGTGTCTCGGAGACCATCAGAACTTGTTTTACCCCTTAATGCAGAGCGCCATGAATCCTACCAGACACAGTATAGTGTCTCGGAGACCATCAGAACATGTTTTACCCTTAATGCAGAGCGCCATGAATCCTACCAGACACAGTATAGTGTCTCGGAGACCATCAGAACATGTTTTACCCCTTAATGCAGAGCGCCATGAATCCTACCAGACACAGTATAGTGTCTCGGAGACCATCAGAACATGTTTTATCCCCTTTAACGCAGAGCGCCATCGATCGTACCAGACACAGTATAGTGTCTCGGGAGACCATCAGAACATGTTTTACCCCTTAATGCAGAGCGCCATGAATCCTACCAGACACAGTATAGTGTCTCCGGAGACCATCAGAACATATTTTATCCCCTTTAACGCAGAGCGCCATCGATCGTACCAGACACAGTATAGTGTCTCGGAGACCATCAGAACATGTTTTACCCCTTAATGCAGAGCGCCATGAATCCTACCAGACACAGTATAGTGTCTCGGAGACCATCAGAACATGTTTTACCCCTTAATGCCGAGCACTATGAATCCTACCAGACACAGTATAGTGTCTCGGAGACCATCAGAACATGTTTTACCCTTAATGCAGAGCGCCATGAATCCTACCAGACACAGTATAGTGTCTCGGGAGACCATCAGAACATGTTTTACCCCTTAATGCAGAGCGCCATGAATCCTACCAGACACAGTATAGTGTCTCGGAGACCATCAGAACATGTTTTATCCCCTTTAACGCAGAGCGCCATCGATCGTACCAGACACGGTATAGTGTCTCGGAGACCATCAGAACATGTTTTACCCCTTAATGCAGAGCCATGAATCCAACCAGACACAGTATAGTGTCTCGGAGACCATCAGAACATGTTTTATCCCCTTTAACGCAGAAGCCATCGATCGTACCAGACACAGTATAGTGTCTCGGAGACCATCAGAACATGTTTTACCCCTTAATGCAGAGCGCCATGAATCCTACCAGACACAGTATAGTGTCTCGGAGACCATCAGAACATGTTTTACCCTTAATGCAGAGCGCCATGAATCCTACCAGACACAGTATAGTGTCTCGGAGACCATCAGAACATATTTTATCCCCTTTAACGCAGAGCGCCATCGATCGTACCAGACACAGTATAGTGTCTCGGAGACCATCAGAACTTGTTTTACCCTTAATGCAGAGCGCCATGAATCCTACCAGACACAGTATAGTGTCTCGGAGACCATCAGAACATGTTTTACCCCTTAATGCAGAGCGCCATGAATCCTACCAGACACAGTATAGTGTCTCGGGGAGACCATCAGAACATGTTTTACCCTTAATGCAGAGCGCCATGAATCCTACCAGACACAGTATAGTGTCTCGGAGACCATCAGAACATGTTTTACCCCTTAATGCAGAGCGCCATGAATCCTACCAGACACAGTATAGTGTCTCGGAGACCATCAGAACATATTTTATCCCCTTTAACGCAGAGCGCCATCGATCGTACCAGACACAGTATAGTGTCTCGGAGACCATCAGAACATGTTTTACCCTTAATGCAGAGCGCCATGAATCCTACCAGACACGGTATAGTGTCTCGGAGACCATCAGAACATGTTTACCCCTTAATGCCGAGCACTATGAATCCTACCAGACACAGTATAGTGTCTCGGAGACCATCAGAACATGTTTTACCCCTTAATGCAGAGCGCCATGAATCCTACCAGACACAGTATAGTGTCTCGGAGACCATCAGAACTTGTTTTACCCCTTAATGCAGAGCGCCATGAATCCTACCAGACACAGTATAGTGTCTCCGGAGACCATCAGAACATGTTTTACCCTTAATGCAGAGCGCCATGAATCCTACCAGACACAGTATAGTGTCTCGGAGACCATCAGAACATGTTTTACCCCTTAATGCAGAGCGCCATGAATCCTACCAGACACAGTATAGTGTCTCGGAGACCATCAGAACATGTTTTATCCCCTTTAACGCAGAGCGCCATCGATCGTACCAGACACAGTATAGTGTCTCGGAGACCATCAGAACATGTTTTACCCCTTAATGCAGAGCGCCATGAATCCTACCAGACACAGTATAGTGTCTCGGAGACCATCAGAACATATTTTATCCCCTTTAACGCAGAGCGCCATCGATCGTACCAGACACAGTATAGTGTCTCGGGAGACCATCAGAACATGTTTTACCCCCTTAATGCAGAGCGCCATGAATCCTACCAGACACAGTATAGTGTCTCGGAGACCATCAGAACTTGTTTTACCCCTTAATGCAGAGCGCCATAAATCCTACCAGACACGGTATAGTGTCTCGGAGACCATCAGAACATGTTTTACCCCTTAATGCAGAGCGCCATGAATCCTACCAGACACGGTATAGTGTCTCGGAGACCATCAGAACTTGTTTTACCCTTAATGCAGAGCGCCATAAATCCTACCAGACACAGTATAGTGTCTCGGAGACCATCAGAACATGTTTTACCCCTTAA